TGTATTATTGCAGGTTCATTTTTGGTGTGTTAAAATTGAAATTTAAAAAAAGTAAAAGTGAAATTTGAGGTTAATAAAATGGCAGCAATTATGATATATCAGAACATCAGGCATTTATGAAGCCTGTCAGACAACTGTCCTTAGGCTAAAATTATTTAGGCAAAACACATTTCCAAGTTAAAAATAAGCTTCTCCTGGGGAGCCGTGTGACAATTGAGAAAGGAAATGCTCTTTTGGGGGGACATATTGTAAATTGTGCTGTAAAGTACAATGGTGGGAAAATGGAGTGTGAAGACCCAGGCGACTCAGAACCAGCCAAGCTATTTACTAAGCCGGGTTTGTCCAAATCTTACAGTTAAGAAGAGCTTTCAGCAAAATTCAAATTTGCAAACATTCCCATCCTTCCTAAGTAAATAATCAAAACCAAAGTCTTAACTTACCCTTGTTACCAAACCTCTTTAAAGTCTTAGCTTAATGCTTTTATGATAGCCATTTTACCCATAAAAATCCATTACACAGTTGTGTCTTTCATGAAAATTCACCTCACCCATGTCTAGCCAAATGAGAACTGATAGAAAAAAAATCTGTTTATTATTATATTAGAAATCCAGTAGGAGAGAACAAGCCCATCCAACCTCCCAGGACTCTCTTCAGGCTGAGGCTGACACACAGCTGCTGCTCCTAATGAGGCTTCCCCATCCAAAACAGCTGCCCAAGCTAATGTGGGCCTGATTCTTTTGTCTCCAGCCCCTTTCATTCTCCCCATGTAAAAACTGAAGCCTGTCACTCAGCACACATCATCACTTTCTATGAAAGGCAAAGGACTGAGCAACGATTTGAGAAAACAAACTGAGGATTATTCAGCTGATGCACTGCAAAAGAAATCTATACTATAAAACCTCTGCTGCACTCACAATCGAAAGCCTGGCTCTGTTCAGCATTCTCTGAGCTGAACATTTTCCCTGTAGCTTATGGAGGAACTGTCTCTCTTCCAGGGGAAAAGGAAGGAAACTGTCATAGACCACACACCCTTGGATAGCCCCAACAATGGGCTGGCAAACCCTAAGCTATCCCAAGTGCAGAGAAACTCTCCGGGCAGGAAATGAGTGTCCAGCATAGAGCCACAGAAGCTGGGTCTCCCACCTGTCTGGCGAGGGGAGATACTGCCACACAGTAGCGCCTGCCCTTTCACAGGTGAAAGATCATTTACTGCTGGGCCCAGTCCAACAGTACTTTAAGATATGATTGTAACCCATCAAGATAAAATAAGAAAAAGCATTTTAAAATATCCTCAAAAATTAGAACTTACTGGGGGAGCTTTCAGCTTTAGCAAGGACAATAAAGTCACAAAAATACTGGTGGCACTGTATTGCTATGTGATCTACAACCTCCCACAATACACTGCTGTTGCTCCCTAGCTGGGTCTTCTGATGAATTAATAAATAGTTTTGTTGCCTCTCTGGGATTGACTTTAGTCCTTTAGGCATGTGAAATTTTTCCCCTGATACATTCTGAATACATTGGGAAAGTGTTCTTCCTTTTCTAAGCAGTTTTCATTGCTCTTTAAGCACAAGATCAGATGACGCATTTGAAACAACAGATTGGGTTTATAATCCTGAAACTGCTCCTATCTGAAACTGCACAGAATTTCAGCCACTGAACATGGTCTACCTTGAAAAGCAGGTTAATTCATGTATTGGAAAGTGAAATTCTATACATTGACTGGATTTTGTGCGTGTACAGTTTAAGGCAGATAAGAAAAAGAAGAAAAATCTTTTTCTTTTGCACTAGGAATGCTAAATGTCACGGTCTAGTACAGCATGAAATCTTCCTAACAGCGATGGATCGAGAGGATTTATGGACTCAGCTGTGTCTCTTTCTGCTACAGAGCCCGTGCCCTATGGACTTGTGCTGGATACAATGCAACATTTAAAGCCACCAACCATAGACTGCTGGACTTTAGGAAAGGTGTGAGAGGCAGGAGATTCTGGTTCCAGAAAATTCTAAATTACTTAATCTATTTTTAATCATTAAATTTTCATGATTAGTAAAAGGAATTACAGTAGTCACCATGAAAAGTTTCATTTGCACAGGTTATCAACCTGCTTTCTTTCCTTAAAATACCAATGTGAAGACTTCTGGAATCAAACTGTTGTCATTTAATTGTGTGCACCTGTGCATGCATTCACACACATATTTACACATATTCTACATTGTTTTTTATGGCCATAAAGAGTTCAAGTTTCTAGCATCTCAAATTGCCAACGCTGACAATCTATTAAAGTGTACAACTGCATATAGATTTTTAAAGAAAACTGAACAACAAAAAATATACATAAGCACCACAGTACAGAATCACAATTGTTTTTTTATACTCTTTTAGTTCTTTCTCTGGCTGGTCAAGCTAAAGCTTGATAATTGTGTCACACCTAGAAGAAACAGTTTCATTGAAAAGCCAGTCACCCAGTGCAAATCTTGCCCCAAACCATAACTAAATGAAAACAGCCCTGCACTCGGGGGTGGGTCTCACAATGACACTTTGTTTACTTGGGCCCAACCAGGTGACTGAGCCCTTCAACTTGAATCTTTGACAAGAATCATTTAGTAAAGTCCAACTGTTCTACATGCAGGCAGAAGAGATACAAACTGGGTCTTTGCTTGGGAAATATTTCCAAGAAAAATGTATTTGGATAACGGATTTTTAAAAATTGCCACAGAGATTTTCATAGTTCCAAATCAATGCTTATATAAATGAAGCAACACTTAGAAAGGGCACGGGCTGCCATTGTCACCAGGAACTAGGTTCTCTGAAGAGTAGAATGTACTTGTTTCTTTTCAGACTGTATGCCCCCAGCGTGCACTCAATATCTTCAGAATGAATTAAAAAATGAGGGGCTGGAGAGATGGCTGAGCAGTTAAGAGCCCTGGCTGCTTTTGTAGAGGACATGTGTTTGGTTCTATGGTGGCTAACAACCATCTGTAACTCCAGTTCCAGGGTATCCAACACCCTTTTCCGACCTCTGTGGGCAATGCACAACACAGGTATGCTTCCATACACGTAGGAAATACACTCACACACATTGAAAAAATGAAATGGCTTACAGAAATGTAGATGTCACTGTAGCTGTTCTCTGAGCCATTATTCAGGTGCATCCAGACAAGGCTCAAAGTCACCCATAAGTAGACATGGGAAGCAACATCTAGTCTCATGTCTGAGGACACAAGATTGCCATCCATGACTCAGACAAGAAGAAAGCTTCTGTCTTGAGTGGCCCAGCATATTTGTGCTTGCAAGCATGTATGGTTCAGCTTAGGGGTCTCAAGTATGCCAAGAACACAAGGCCTGTCTCTGGTTCCTGTCTGGGCACCTGGCTTAGAGCAGGCAATGATGAAAGAGAATGGGTAAGTCCAGAAGAAGCAGGTCCCAGTGCAAGGAAAAGGTGAGCAGCACTCATCATTTTACACCACTGCGTTAAACACATGGACTTAAGGGAGAGCAGCTGCCCCAGAGACGGCTTAGGGAGCATGAAGCAAGCACTTCAGATGCAGAGTGAGGGGGTGTCCCAAGCCACCTTAGGGACAAAGCTAAGAGTGAGAGGGGGATATCCAGTTGGTGTCTCACAACTAAATGAATAAGTTGATTTTTGCATTCCTATTTTCATTATTAGGATTTGTGTTTACCAAAAAATATGCATGATGCCTGATAGAGATTCTTACCTTATAGATTGTAGGTAGACAGATCTCTTGAGTCCATGTCCCGTTGGGGCATTCATCTGATTGCACACATCGATTGTGGCACCAGCCACACTGCACAAAGGAAGGGGCAGAGAGACACTGACTGCAGGACTGGAAATGTCCACAGCCCAGGCCATTCAATGGGATCTTGGTGAGCTGCAAAGAAAAGGGAAAGAAAGAATTTCTAGAGGGGTTTTGGGTTTAAGTGAAAATTAATTACATAAAAGTTACATATAAATATCACTTGGCAGTGCCTACTTGAGATAACACCTATGTGAAAATCATATAATAATGGTTGAGCAATTTAAAAAAATATCAAATTCCTTCCTTCCCTTTATTGTTGGCACATATGAGATAAAACAGTTAACATTGTTTGCTGGGTGTAGTGTGCCCCTGAAAGGCCAGCTGCTTACGAGGCTAAGGCAGAAGGACTGAGTTCCAGGCCAGGTTGGACAACCCAGCCAGAACACACTCTCTATTTTAAAAAAAGACTTTACATTTGTGGTTACTGTCCACGTCCATAAGCACTGTACTGCAATGTTAGAGAATCTATATAGTAGGAACATTTGGCTCTGTTGATATGATTTTATAATAACAAGAGAGTATAATTTAAGCTGTGGGGAAAACACTTGAACCCTGGAAAGTTCTAAGTAAGGTTGCATATCATTCTAGTATCAAGATATACATCTTTCTTTCAGAGGAAAGGGATTACTCGCTGGAGTCAGATTCCAATGTACGTCTCCAGGATTTATCTGCCTGCACTGGGGTTTTGCTGTGGGGACAGTGATCCTCATTCTGTGTGTTTGTTTTCCTCACCGAGAAACAAGACTAAGGGAGAAGTACACGTTCTGAAGAAGACCTCCCTCTGGCCTAATCTCCCTTGAATAAAAATTTACTGTATTTCAGAAGACCTCTGGAAAATTCAAGGAAGGACTTAAAGGAGGAGACTTGAATCTAAGATTAAGAAGTAAGTTATTTTTAAAAACCCATACATGATATCCATTCAGGAAGAACGGTATCCGTGGAAACTCCTATGCAAACAGGACTTACCTTCTTCCCTGTGGCAACCAGTGTATAGCCATTTTGGTTTAAAGGGTGTTCAACAATCACTTCTGGAGACACAGGGTGGGAATCCAGGAGAAAGTTTACATGAGGGGTGAATGACACCGTTCGAGAAACCACAACCTGAGTAACAAAAGATATCCTTATTCAAACAAATTCAGTTTAGACACAAGCAGAAAATGTGGATGATAATGGTAATAACAGAATGGGCGAACTTGTGAGTGTTTGAACTAAGACACAACAGTTCATCCTGTTTTAAATCAATACATCTTTAATCTTCTGTCTTGAAGCCAATTTATCTGAGTCCCCAAGACAGACTTTTGCCTATAATCTTTTAGCTGTTTCCAGGCAAGATCTTCCAATCAATCAGCCAGCACATGTGGACCAATTCTTACAAGTGTATGGGGAACTGGAGGATCCAAAACTCTCCCCAGAAGGAAGACACCATGAAGGCTATACGGTTCCTGGTTCCTGGATTGTTCTTTAATCTGTCCTCTCGACCCTCCCCACAGGGCATTTTCTCTTGATGTAATGCTAGGAGCAATGGGCGGGGAATCTGGAAACCCGAAGCTGGTTCCAGCTTTGCTACTTTTAAGCTGTATTTATGGATCTTCTGAGGTCAGAACAGACCTCCTGCTATTTGAATTGAGTGCTCTATTTTTTATATACCACTATCTCATGATATGTATTACTTCCATTATAAATAAAGTTCTACTTCCTGTCCTGACTTTAAAAATATATTCTGGCAGCTTTAACAATGTCTGGAAGATGTGGTTGGAGTAGTGTTGTCATTCCCACTTTCAGGTATTTGTCATTAGGGCTGTTCCCCAGAAGTACAATATCATTTATTTATACTTCCTCAGAAGTGTAATATCATTTATCTCCTCCCCCTTCCTACAATCCAGTGACAATGGAAGTTCAGAGGCTGTGATTAGCAACTGCGCTAAGGCCAGGACTGTTATTTTAGGTGATCACAGACTTTAGGAGGGTTTAGAAATGCTCAGAGAGACTGTCACTCTTATGTGGGCCATCAGCCTGCATATAGAGGTAGGATGTAAAAAGCTGATTCAGTGCTGGGCTTGAAATCTACTCTGTGAAGTTGACCAATATCTGTAATAATCTTTTTTGAATTTTTAAAAAATATATTTTATTTATTATTTTTATGTTATGTGTATGAGTGCCTGCATGTATGTAAGTGCACCTGTGTCATACAGTACCCAAGGAGGTCAGAAGAGGGTGTTGAATCCCCTGGAACTGGAGTTCCAGATGGCTGTTAGCTGCCATACGGGTGCTGGGAATCGAATTCAGGTCTTCTGCAAGAGCAGCCATTGCTCTTAACCACTGAGTCATCTCTCCAGTCCCTATCTGTAATAACCTTTTACATTAATTCAAAGTGCATTTACTTGTCATATGAAATCATGGGACATCTACGAACACCTGTGAGATTAGAATTCATAAAAACACCCCTTTGACCACAGCTTTCTCATTCATAAGATGGAAATGCAGACTAGAGTACAAATTAAGTGCTTTGTACTGAAATACACACAAAATGTAAGTATTCCAGGCAACAACAGTAAATTTTCTTTCTGTAACGCAATAGAGAAGCCTGAAACAATTTAGGAAATAGCTTCATTTGTTCTCATAGCATGATTTGCTAATAGAGAAAGCAACCAATCTCACACTGGGCGATGAAAGTTTAACATCATGACATTTTTGCTCTATAGTTGTTCTACCCTAAACACCCAACACTTTCAAAACACCTCCATTAAGCAGGTTGGTTACATTTGCACAGAAGCTAAAGGATGGTTCAAAGGTCATATGGTCAGGATGGAAATTATTGTTATTCCCTAAATTTAGGGCCCAATAGGTATTTGTGACCTCTGTGGGCAAAGTTAGAAGAGTTCACTTCCCAGGCCTACCTCCCTCAGATCTGCATCAGTGTTCCCAAGCCTCTATACTAGGTTACCAGAATTTTAGTTTTTCAGTTCTGCAATGGTAACTCCTGTCAAGAGCTTACTGCCTCTCATCCTCTATACCCTTTCACCCCTTATTCACTTCAAACAGCAACGGTTAAAAAGAAATTTTCCCGGGGCTGCAGAGATGGCTCAGCAGTCAAAAGCCCTTAATAGAGGACCCTGGGTTTGGTTCCCAGCACTCACATGGTTGCTAACAACCATCTATCTGTAACTCCAGTTCCAGGGGATTCGACACCCTCTTCTGTTCTCCTCAAGCATTTTACGACGTGGGTACATTTACATGTGTACAGGAAATACACTCACACACATCAAATAAATAAATAAAATAAATAAATAAATAAATAAATAAAAATTATTAAACTAGCTCTCATAGTATCAGAGGATTCTAGCTAGCTGCTAAGGGAGAAAACCAACCTACAGTCCAACTCAGCTGAAAAACCTAATAACCACAACCATGACTAGAGCAGCAAACTACAGATTTTGGTGCAGTAGTGGCACTTTTATCTTGGGGGTAATCAACAGCTATCTAATTGTTTAGAGTAGCAAAAGTTCCATAAATTTAACTGGTTCAGACTATAAAACCCCTAGTCTGTTGGAGGACCTACTTTTCCAGTCTCACTGGTCAATCACCTGGTGATAGAACCACTCCTAGGAAGGCAGGTTCACCTTAAGTTATGCTAAATAGATGGGCGGAATACCTGGTGTGTTAATGAGGTAGTGAAATTTTCCTGCCTGGAACTAGTGCAGATTTCTGCAGACCTTCCAGACCAGGCAGTCATGTAAGTCTCTGTAGGTCTGTCTGCCTTTCTTTCTCTCAGAAGGGTGTAATTTTCCCTTTTCTTCTTCATGCCTTTCTTACTAAGCTCTAAAGCTTCCTTCTCCCAGCCATGTGGCTGCCAGTCTGCCATGTGTCTGACCCCCATGCAGGCTCTAAACCTACATTGCTCCATGACTTTCTTTCCTTCTTCCCACCATTCACCTCCTCAAGGCAGCTGCCAAGATTACCAGCTCACTTGCCCTGAGGATTTTTCTTTTAAGATACTAGTAAAACAGTAAAAGCTTCTGTTTGGGTTCTTAAATTCTTTTGTGAATGAGACTAAGAACCCTCTAGGGGGACCCTCTTTCACCCCGTTTCAATTGGATTTGGGGACTGCTCAATGGGAGGGAAATCATGTGTGGTGCTGTAAACATAGCCAAATACACATGGTTGAAGAGGTCATAGATCCTACAGAAAAACCTACATCTGCCACATCCCTAGACAAACATAATTTCTTACTGTCTGCTAAATATGGATTCTTACATTTACAGCCAAGTATACCTCTTGCCACTCATCAAAGAAGCTTCTTTTTGCAGCAGATGGAGTCTATTACAGAGTTCCAGAACTGGCCAAAATCGAGAGAGTGTCTGTTAGATGCCCAGCCGTAAGTAACACATCCACAATGCAATCCCTACACCTAAGGCTCAGAGAACATAGTGGAACAAGGGACATAAAGAATATTAATGCAGCATTGGTGGTATCGTGGTGAGAATAGCTGCCTTCTAAAGAATATTAATGCATCTCTCAACTCTCACTGGCGAAGCTTCCTCATGCAACAGGGGGTCATTAACACAGAAAGTCACAACTAGCCAAAATGTGGAGAATAAAAGACTGCAGAGTACATGCTCCTGGATAGGACTCCTATATTAAACCTTTGCCACCCAGGGCTCAGGGACCACTGTGGAAGAGGGGGCAGAAAGACTGTAAGGGCCAGCAGTGGTAGATGACTACAAGGAAATAGAGTTATCCAGGCTTCTCGGAACTTGCTCATATGAGCTTGGAGCAATGGTGACAGCATGCACAAGACCCATGCAAACTCAAACCAGACAAAAACCTAACATAGAAGTGGGGAAATGGGTAAGAAGCCCCGACCTTAGCTGAGGAACTATTGGCAACTGATCACTGCTGGTCTTCTTTAAGGGAGTGACACTAGATAAGTTGACCAGGCTCCAGTGGATGGACTCACCAAGGAACATTTGGGAACATAAATTTGACTTGACAGGCCTTAACATATATGACAGAATGCATGAAATCTGGCAGGGAGGATATGGGGGAAGTGTGCAGATAGGGAAGGGGGTGGAAGGTATGTTTTGGTTTTTCCTTAAAGAAAATAGAACAGAGAATTTTAGCGAGGAAGTGTAAGAGTCAGGTTTCCATGGGGCTTTATCTAATGCCAGAATCCATGTGCTCAACCTCTTCTGAAACACTCAGCCACTAGACTCTTGGAGCTCCAGAGAAAATACCAATAAAAAGCTTCAACTCAGAACTCCCCAGAGCACTAGTGAGTTGAAGCACTGAAAGAACTTTCACAATACATTTGCCTTGCCAGTTACTCCTTATTTCAACAATCTTGGCTGTAGAAGTTCAGTGTGCCTAAGGAGAAAGCCTCTGTATCCACACGGTTTCTGATGGCTCACAAGACTTGATATCAGCCCAGCTAGTAAAGCTATGGGCTACAGCTAGTGTGACTTGCTGTGGAAAGAAAGTGAGCAGCAGGAGAAGACAGGAAGGCCATGTGGAGAAGGGGATGAACCTTTGGACTGTGGAGAAGAGACCTTACCACAGATGCAAATACCTGCTTAGTTGATCATTAGCCCTTTTTCCGCAGGAACATCCACTGTAGGGAAATGCCAAGAATGCTTTTTCTATCATTAATCCCTCCCTTTTCTCTCATTGCCAGGATCCTAAATAATTGAGTAACCACTATAATCCTCAAAATACCATTGAAACAATGCTTGCAAGAGTTAGAAGTTGCTTTTTGTTGTCATGGAGATATTTCTAGGGACAGAACAGAATTTGGCATGCAAATTTAATTCTTATGATAAATCACTTGGCAATCTGAGAACAATTACTATGAAACAGAAGACTGGCAATTATCTTTTGAGTTTCTACTGTGTCCATGACTAATCTTTAGCATTTAGACCACAAGCCCTTCTTTAATGATCCTGAAAATACAGTATTGATGCAAGGTTTGGTGGGTGGAGAGAGGAGAGGACCTGAATTGACTTGTTCTGTGCTCAGTAAGGCATTTGAGAGAGGATGTAGCAAAGAAATACATGTATAGATTGATAAAACAGCTGTGGCTCCACCACCAAGTTTGAACAAAATAA